CCGCCCGGGCGACTGCGGCTTGTCGGAGAAGTTAGTGCCAATTTTAGCGGATAGAGGGTGTTTTTTTTTTTTTTTGTATTTTGTTGCTAGAAGTTCATCAGCTGCTACTGTACGTAGTTTGCAGGGACGCTGACGTATTCGGAGCCAGGAACGTTCTCCTCAATCATTTTTATAATATGGTATAATTGCTACTATTATTTGAGTGAACATAAACTAGAATTAAACTGAATTATTATTATTTTCTAAATATCTATACCTTACATTTCTCAATTGTTAATAGCAACCTAGATTTGTGATAATGAAATTATTAGTGTTATTATTATTATTTTGTTTGTTTACTTGTCTGCATTAATGTGTTTTTCCTCCAGTGCTTGCCTGTAATTTGTCTTTGACTTTATGTTGTGTTTATTCATAATGTAATTACCTTTATCTACACTGTGCTCTGCCTGTAACTGGCCTTGAGGCCGCAAAAGTCACTGAATGGAAGTAGGAATACTCTACACAGAATTGCACAGAAGGTTTAGCGACGGTCTGGGCGGCCGGATTTCAATTCCCGGCAGCGATGAAGATAAAATAAGGAACAAAGTACAGTTCAGGACATGAATCTACGAGCTTGTCCTTGTTTCAGTAATTTTCGGTGTGAAGGTGAGAGGAGATAGGAAACAGGTTCTCTACTATCCAACCTGCGAGTTGCTATCAAAGTAGATCATTCACTGTAGCTTTGCGCCATGCACTGGATTGCTCAGATGTTTTTAGGTAAGGTAATTTTACAGCTAAAATGTATAAATTTGTTCATGTGCTTAATTAATTAAGAACCACGCCATTAAGATGTATGGGCGAGTGGAGGTTGTGGAGTAGAGTTGTGTAGAGCGGATGTGCTTGCGTGTGAGGCCGACGTGGTATTATGTGACTTCCGTGAATGGTTACCGAGAGTGTTATAGCATGTTGTGTACGGCCACGCCAGAGAAGCTTCAGTACGTCTGTTCACCAGTCAAGTCCTACACAAACGTGTCTGGTGCCTATTCTAATTCAGATCGTTCGAAATGTCTGCTCCTTTGTCTTGGAACTCGACTGGTGACAGCATATCCTTTTCAAGGCTACTGGTACAACCTGCAGGGCCCGCCTTACTAAATTTGGTTTCTGTAGAAAGGGGCAAGAAATAAAGAACTTTTCCGAAGAAGTAGGGTCGTGAGGCAAGTTTGCGTAGTTTTTAAGATTTATTATTACATGGAGAAAGTTAGATGCCGGCAAATTTATCTCGAGTGTCAACAAGTATATTTCTTTTTTCGGAAACCTAATCAGGAATTTAACGGTTTATGTTGTCTGTCTTGTATTCATGTTTCTGTGTATAATCTTTCGATGTTTACATAAGGTACTAATGGTTAGGTCTGCCCTAGGAGGTACGAATGTGGTTATATTGCCGACATTATAATAAGTTTCAAAAGCTATGGTATAAAATTCTGTCGGTCACGGTAGCCGAGTGGTCTAAGGCATGAACTGTCTTCCTTCGCTCGGAAGCCTGGATCGTGGGTTCGAGTCCCACACAAGGCATGGATGTTTGGTATGTGTATGTGTTTATTCTGTGATTGTGTTGTCCTGTGCTTAAGTAGAGGCCTTGCTCTGGACTGATCACCCGTTCAGGAAGTCCTACCGTCTGTAAAATGATCATGAAACTGAAAAAAAGACCGGAATGATGTGGCTCAGGATAAGGGACCAGTTTCGGCCTGTTGTATGCACGGTGATGAGCATTCGGGTTCCACAAAATGTTGGAAAATTCTTGAGAAACTGAATAACTGGTGGCTTTTCAAGAAGGACTCACTTCCAAGGAGTTAATTTATTAGTTATTTAATTATATTTTGGTTTCCTGAGTTATAAAAATCAGAATGGCTTCCCACAGCGGCCGCCTGGGTTCGTTACGGTGGGCAAATTAACTTTGGGGCAGGGTTCTTCCGAGTACGTCATTCTGTGCCAGATGTTCCAGTTTCATTATCTATCATTCGTGGCTGTTAAAATGGACCATTAACAGCCTACGTTTTAAGAGACCCAATTACACAACGCTTTTGCTTGCTCCTGGTCTAGAAAACCGAAATTAACAGCCGTGGAGACGACACCCTCTAGCCGCTAAAGTTGGTACTAACTTCGCCGACAAGCGGCGGTCGCTCGGTCGGAGTTTGTTTTGTTTTCTTGCTTGCTCATATCTTCGACCATGAAAATGGAGGCGGCGTTTCTCCCCGAAATTTCAATTAACGTCTACCGAATTACGTGGCGTCACATTTCAGAAGATAATAGTTCGCTTGCGGACTAAAGCCACGGAGTTTGTTTGATACTCTTAGTAGTCCTTGCTGTGAAAACCACAAATCCTAATTACAAGTTGTTACCAAATATTCTGCGTAAATTTTGAAATGATTTCTCGCGATTCCCGATAAATTACTTACAGAAATACAGATATAATATGACTCCAACCTCGAATACATTATCGATACAATCTATCATATCTTCAGTGACTGGTACTTAAATATCGTATATAAATATGTATACATATATTTTTGTCACATTTGATTCCTAGACAAGCATAGAACTAATCTTGAAGGCTGTGAGGAATGCGGGAAGTCGCAACCATTGAAGTCGCTGCAGCAGCATGAATCAGCAACTACTACCAGAGCCAAAACATTCAGTACATACTATATAGTGACTGCAAGCTCCATGCCTTCGTCAGGCTTAATAATATTGCACTCAGCGTCAGTTTGACTTCTGAACTGTAGAGATACAAACACAACTGCTTTAGTTCGGTTCAGCTGAACACTACACAAGTACGCTAGTGGCCAATATGTTCTGAACTGACGCTGTACAAAGTAGGTACATCTCTTTCCATTCCTTAATCCCCTCATACCGCTTCAACAACCGCAAAAGGTGAAACATTACAGTCTCTGCCAGTACTTTCTTTTTTAATTCGCTTAGAAGGGGATGGAGTCCAACTGGATCCACTCGGCACGGCGGCCACTGATTGGCATATTGTAGCCTGCCTCGTGTGATTATGATGATGGAGAATTTGGTGGAATGAAGATTGGCAGGGGAAACCGAAGTACTCGGAGAAAACCCGCCCCAGAGCCACTTTGTCCACCACAAATCCCACTTGACCAGACCCCGGAGTCGAACCCGGGCCGCCACGGTGGGAAGCCAGCGACTAACCACTTGAGCTGTGGCTCCGCCCTCTGTCAGTACTTACTCTTATATTTGGCCTTCATAGGCCTGATCATTGTAGGACAGGTATTTGCATAGGTGTAATTGGAAAAAATTATAATAGGAGTTAGCATAGATCAGTTGGTATAGCGAAGGGCTACGTGCTGGACGGCCGGGGTTCGATTCCCGGTATGGGCAAGAAATTTTTCTCTTATTTACAACGTCCAGACCGGTCCTGGGGCCGGGACAGTTTTACCTGTTTACCTTATATTTTATAATGTGGTTTGCGTGTAAATACATAATATTCTGACGCATATGTCCATTGCTAGGCAACGACTCGGTAAGTACATTCATGAAGCGAACACTGTCAACAATAGGACATCTGTTGCTAGGTAACGGACCAATAGTCACGCATTTTTGACAACAGAAGACCGTGTTTTCCGTGGGATCAGTGCTGAGGAGTTATAAGAGGGCATAGTCAATCGCATATCCCTCCCCACCACGTGTGGAGGCGGGGTCGAATACCTCCACCGTGGACCTGCGAGTCGTAAGAGGAGACGAAAAGGGAAGTCTCAGTTCTGAGACAGTAAAATATGGTCACGAATCCCAAGGGACTCGGATCCTAGAAAGACTGCGCTGGCAAGGGCCAGCAGCATATACAAAAGACAGACCCGTCCTCTCGTCAGAGAGAGCGGCCCACAAAAACAAGACCGTAACTGTCAAACAGTAATAAATATCTGGTCATGAGCCCCAGATGGGGCTAGAAACCAAGACTTACTGACTGACTGGCCGTCAGTCGCAAGGTGACTTTGACTTTTAGTTCAGATCAGAA